TAATCATAACGGCCAGTCTCTCGCTGATTCGAATCTGTCGAACTCGCCAGCAGCTTCCAGTCTCCTCCAAGCTCCGTCTCGTGCTTTTCCGATGAGTCTGTCAGCACTGCAGCACCTGGTTAATTACTGTTTCGACTCCTGCCCAAGGTCGGCTTCTCGTAGTTGCTTCCCCGAGAACCCAAGCAGATCAACTCTTATGTAAGTCATGTTCTGAGTATCAATATTAATTCAGAGGGTCAGCATCAAGGGGAGTTTCAGGCAAGGAGGAAGAATTTTGAGGGAGAAGAAGTTGGGAAAGAAGGAACGAGGAGCGAAGAGGGAGATGCTTCAAGTTTTAGGTAGGCAGCGCAGTACTATTCAGATTGAATTGCAAAGAGGAGATCGTGCGGAGATATCCGGATGGATTTTGAAATGAGAAGCAATGGATATTGACAATGGTAATCAGGGCCTTCGAATCGTGTTGGAAAATAGATATATTTGGGACTCGGACTGTGTGTATAAATCCATACATACGACAAATGATGATATTCAAATTTACGAGCAAGGAAAGACCATCGAGGAAACCTCAAGGGAACAGAGATACCTTTGGTTCCAGGTTCTACTCTGTAAGCCCTCCATCTCCACCAAGTTGAGCGGGAGTCAAACTGTCGTAAATGGGGCAAAGCTCGTCCCAGTCCGCTGTTTAGAACATTTGATTCAGTATTGATGAACACATAAAAATGAGCCAAAATCGTACCCGGGGTAGGGTTGGAAGCAGATTCTTGTGCGTCCGTGCCCTGTGCAAACACAATCGCGAAACCACTGTATAACCATTGTCAGATACAAGTATGGATCGGATATTGACTGAAACTCACGCTTCCAAGTGGAAGTCGATGTGGCTATTTCCAGCAAGGCCGAGTTATAAATTTTGAACAATCACAAAGCAACACATTTCACTTACCAATGCAAGAACCCTTGTTTCAAAAGAGCCAGTTAGCACGTTTTGGAAGACAAGGAATGGAATTTGAACCCACAAGGACCAGCGTTAGCAGTAAAGAACCGAATCGTGACATTGTCTCCTGGCATACCAGTGTCGACAACATCTCGCTGCGCAGGATTCACAAAGTTATCAACACTGCTTCCAGCGGATCGGATAACAGAGAATTTTTGCTATATGGACGTGAGCAGAAAGAAAAGAAAAAATCAATGTAAAGACGTACTCCGTGAAGATGGAACGGATGCTAGAATTCGTGTCAGTGAGTGATTCTGTGACAGTTTCAAGGTTACTAACCGGTCCACCATGTTGGAAGACGAAGCTCGTATTGAAGGTGAGTTGAATTGACGAGTTCAAAGGCAATTCATAAACGGATCCGGTGGGGAGGAGAGCATCTGTAGTTGAGATATGTGAATATTAACAGACGAGGAGTGACGTGGTTTCTACGTACTAGCTGGCTGAGCTCCGCTAACAATTTGAAGCAAGACAGGAACGCTGGGTGGGTGGAACTGAACGCCGTTGATGAAGAAGAAGTTTCCTAATTCTGGAGTTCCGACTTCCTGCAAAGAGTGTAAGTGAAAGTGTCTAAGACTCGCGGGAAATTGACCTACCCAGAACAATTCCAAGTTCATGGCTACGTCGACGTCATCTATGGATGGACCACCAGGCTAATATCATTGTTAGTCACGCATGATAATGACCTGCCAATAAGCGGAACCTACTGGTGTGGGATCGATAAGAGGCTACAGTGGGTTAGTCAAAATGAATGAGGAATAATGTATTACTCTTACATGAAGGTCTGTTTCGAGCAACTGTCTGCCTGGTACTGTCTGATTTACCGTAGGCTCTGCATCAGGTGCACCGACGTAGCGGAGGATAGCACTGTTGATTCCACCATCAAAGAATTGCTTCGCAGCTCCTGCTACGTCGTTGACCTTGATCCCTGTAGCAACGATTAATCCTACGTGGACTGAATCGACTGAAAGCATACACACAGTAGTTGTCAATACTCTGGTTTGCAGTTAACACGAAGGAGTATCGTTGAGCAACAAGAATTTGGAACCCGTCTGCTGGAACAGGGTCATGTTCGATACCATCAGCTTCGATGACCTTGAATCAAACTCGTTAATATCTTCCAGATACCAGAGGTGGTCTAATGCGTACGAGCATCGGATGGAAATCGATTGAAACGTTCATGGGGTTGTCACATCCAGAGTGGATCACACGCATGCGGTAACTTTAAGTCAAAGGATGCTCAATATTGAACAAGTGAAAAGATTGTGTGCAGCTCACCGTAAGCCCTGTGTAACAGTAATTACCGACAAGGGAGTGGGCTCTGTGCTAAACCAGCTTCGTCCTGAAATCGTTTAGCCCTTTGTTACGGTCAGATAGAGCTGGCTTTACCTAGACCGTTGATGAGGGTCGCATTTGGAGTCCTGAACAAGTATTAAGAAAGCCATGAAAATATAGACAGCGATGACCACTCACGTAGAACCTGTCACCATTGACGGAGCAGTATCATCTGTGAACCCATTTTATAAAGAGCACTTTGTTAAAGAATTAATCCTTTCTTACGGTATCTGGAAAATGATTTATCAAAAAATTGTGCAAACATAAGAGAATAGGCTTACAATAACGAGAGTACGATGACAGTGCCATCTGAAGGAAATCATTAGATCTCTGATTCAGAAGATGGAAAAGCAAACCTAACCATCGTCGACATCGTACAAATCGGCAAGGGGATCGTCTGGGTCGTAGACAATCAATGCTCCAGTCAATTGGTCACAGTACTGAGTAGCTGTTGCGGAGATTCATTCCAGTTCATATTCGTACAGCGTAGAGTGAAATTTACCTAAATGCGAATGATACTGAAGATTTGTCAAAGTTAAAAGACTGACAAATTTGGAAGCAAAGCTGGAAAAACATACCCAGAATGTACCAGCTTGATCAGGTACGTTGAATTCGTATAGGAATGAGTTGTTGGCCGCGATCGGGCATTGGTTCACGAATGAACTGCGATTAATAAGTAATTATGGGATGAAAATATTGTGGCTGGTTACGTACGGTCTACGAAAATTCATGAGTATGAAATTGAAAGTGGAAAAATCTTACATACCCGTCGGCCCAGTTGGAATGCTCCTGGAAGATACCGTGCCAATGCTATACCAATGTAAAGTGAAAAGCTGACGAAAGTTGGTACCAGGGTTATACGCACAATGGACACACTCTCCAGCATAGTACCATTGTTGAGCTGATTCTGCAAGTTGATTTGGAAGGTATCACCCTGTCATTTCGTCATGTTAGCGTTATTTCTTGCTGGACGCGCTAGAACAGTAGTACCTTGAACCCCGTGATGATAGGGCCAGGGAGAGTGCCTCCAGCGGTAACGAAAGAACGGTTGAAACCGTCAGGCTGGGCGAACGCGTTCTTGATGACCAAGTCTGTGACAGGACCGATGGCAGCTAATGCACCACCGAAGAGTGTAAGCAGAACAGGTACTGGACGAAACATTGTTAGAACCAAAGAGGACCAGTGATCTATAGTCCTTCGAGGAATGGGCCAGCTTAAATATCCTTTCCATAAGTAGCAGCTGTGAAAACTTGTACAGGTTTAGTTGAATCGAATGGTCATTTCTATGGCTAAGTCTTTGCAAAAAGGCCGCGTATTGTGCACGTCCAGTTGGCCTTACTGTTCCTGTTGAAGGGATTGGGCAGAAGCTCGTTGTCGAACTCATTGATTCCTGCAAAAATGCCTCGGGCGCATTTCATGAGAAGGTTCACTTCATCTGTGAGAGTTTTAACACGAGCAAACCAATTAAGCAGCAAGGAAATGTAGACGAAGCAACAAAGAAATCAAGAGGCAAGACTGATCTCAAAATACAAAAGCTATTTTTACCTCTTTCACACGTTGCCCGGATCAGTCAAATGGTCTACTCCCAAACATCAGCTTCGTCTTTTCATCTCTTGTGGTGGTCGTACTTACCAGTAAACGTCACATCTGAAAAGCATGGACTTCCATTGGCAAAGATCATTAAAAATTCCACGCAAATCCACGTCCGTGGTCGATGCTCTCATACTTTTCGAAATTGAACAATGTGTATCGAGTCCGTATTTTGAGAAGGATTGATTTGTGGGGTATCTTGGAACTGGACGCTCACCATTATACCTGACTTTGAGTGAACACCCAAGCTGCGTAACTCGGAGGAAGAGCAGTGGCGGAGAACTGGACTGGATAGGATCGATTGAGCCGCGCGGCGGCGGCTTGAGGTGGTTTGACTAGCTTGGGGTTGTGTGAATGAGGATGGCGGACAACTAGAAATGAGGAAGGAGGTCATCCATAGGATCCAGAGTAAAAACAGGAAGCGCACCCCCCTGGCTCCCAAATCAACTTAATCGCTCCCCCTTCCTTCTACATAACTCTCATTCATATCGCCATCCCTTCACTGTCAATGGCCGTTTCGAAGCAGATAGTCTTTGTCTATGCGGGAAACGTCAGATTGTCCATTGCAAGAGCCTGTCTAATCTTCAGTCTCGACTTTTCCAAGCGCACTCCTAGGATTGGCAGTTTTATTCCAATTACTTATATCGAGCTTCGACACACTGACAATCACAGAACTTCAAGCCGAAGCTCGACACTCTCTGAGAACACTGACAGCATGTTATTCCTTGATTCATCATGACACTTTCGTCAGCCGCACCTTTACGCTTAGGAAACCGCTCGAAGTGCAGGGGCAGCCGGGGCTGAATTTATTGAGAGATCAGCGTTGCCGATTCATGTTATTTGGAGAGAAGTGGATGATTTGTCTTCGAGGGAAGTGAAAGACTCGTTGCAGGACCCGAAGCAAGAGAGAGTGCAGGACGGTGAAAGATGCAGGACATGATACAGTACTGAGTACGCTTTTAGCTCATGGTTCCGCAAGCGACAGCCAATTCTGTATTGTGGACCCTGAACGTTGAACTGGGAATAAAAAGTAGGACAATGATACTTAATAGAAAAGAAAAATAGACATAAATTACAGCAGAGCATATTCCGACACGGGGAATCGAACCCCGGGCTATCGCGTCCAAGGACATTAGAGACGTCATGCAAATGAGAGGCGATAATGTTAGCCACTACACCATATCGGAATGTAGATACGTCGTTCATACCGGGATAAGTACCCGTTATTCCGGTCACTTTGTGATTAGGTCACGTCCGCTCTCCATCTTTACCTTTGTACTTCCATGCTCGTTGCCGCCCATTTCCGTTGATGTATTTCTCAGGAGGTCAGAAATTGGGAACGGAATCCTGGCCTGGACGTTCCCATTTACAAGTACTTTCGCCTGGAGCTCAGCAGCAGCAAGTCGGTCCGCCACCAACTTCTCCAGGATACGGAATTTACAGCCAACCTCAGCACCATCATCACATTGGCCAATTACACCATATACAGAGCCAGCAGCAGCAGCCACAGAATAACCACAATCCTCATTATCCGAGCCCCCCAATTCAGCATCATGTAGGGAGTCCAGCGAGTGTGCCTTTGGCTCAGCATTGGCAACAACAATTGCTCAAATGCGAGGTATTAGATTTATTGTTTCTAGTATTTAATCTATACTAATAATTAATCCATAGATTGTCAGGCAATCTCGTTCTCCACATCATCGAGCTCGAGCAAGCGCAATGGCTTCTCGCACAGTCGCAAAGTCGGCAATTCCGATCACAAACCCTAATCCGAAACCTCCGCCAGACGAGTCGGAAGGTGCACTTTTGTCCAATGGAAATGCCAGCCATCCTTCATCTACCGTTGCTCCCATCGCTGAGCCTTCCAGGTCACGGCCAGAATCCAACTGGACTTCATTGGACATGGGCGGAGTAAACATAAAGAACCTTCCCTCCAATTCCGGTCTCTTTTCCTTCACTTTCCTCGCAAACCTCTACCTGAACCACAATGCTCTCTCTTCTATACCGCCCGAGATATCCCAACTTCGGAATTTAGAGCTCCTCGATCTATCCGGTAACTCGCTCACCACGCTACCTCCGGAATTAGGCATGCTCGTCTCACTGAAAGAGTTTTATCTGTTTGACAACCAGATAATGACTCTTCCGCCAGAATTCGGCACATTACACCAGCTGCAGACTCTTGGCGTAGAGGGCAATCCATTGGACACCAATCTAAAAAACCTCATCTCCAAGGACGGAACTGCCGCCTTGATTGCATATCTACGGGACTCATGTCCTGTCCCTACTCCGCCACAGAACCGTGCATGGATGCCATTCATAACATCTGCCGAACAAGAAGCCCTTCCGCCTTCAACGGAAACGATTTCCGTCGTCTGTTACAATATCCTTTGCCAAAGAGCCGCTACAGTACGCTTATACGGCTACACACCATCCTGGGCATTGGCATGGGAATACAGACGCGAGCTCATCCTGACAGAGATACTCGCACACGGCGCCGATTTCATTTGTTTACAAGAAGTCGACGTTACGTCGTACGAAGACTACTTTGTCAAGCATCTCGCAGCAGCCGGATACGAATCCGTCTATTGGCCCAAATCCCGCGCTAAAACCATGTCGAACGAGGCAGAGAGGCGGTTCGTCGATGGCCTTGCCACCTTCTTCCGTGCGGACAAGTACCAGCTCATCGAGAAACATCTGATAGAGTTTAGTGCCGTGGCGATGCAGAGGGACGATTTCAAGAAGACGGAGGACCTATTCAATCGCGTGTTAGGCAAGGACCATATCGCGACAGCGTGTGCGTTTGAGAATAGAGAAACAGGGTCGAGGGTATTGGTGGCGAATGTCCACATTCTGTGGGACCCCAAGTTTTGTGATGTCAAGTTGGTTCATGTCGCATTAATGGCGGAGGAAGTGGAGAAGATTGCGGAGAGATTCGCCAAGTTGCCGCCGAGACTGTTCCCCGAGCCAGAGATGGCCAATGGTAATGGTAATGGTAACGGAAACGGAGTGTCCGACGCTGATGGGTTCGATGGATCGTCATCAGCATCATCATCTCCCCATCCCTCTTCATCAGCTTCCCAACCCCCGAAACGACCACAACAACCCCGCCCAAAACCACCGACATACACCTCGGCATCTCAAATTCCTCTCATATTCTGTGGTGACTTCAACTCCATCCCGGAATCAGGCGTGTACGAGTTCCTTTCTACGGGTGCGCTCAGTAAGGACCACCCGGAATTCATGGGCCATATTTACGGAAAGTACACTGGGGGAGGAGGTGAGAAGGGAGTAGGATTGAAGAGCTGGCTTGGGTTAAAAAGCGCGTATGGGGTTAATACGGGGCTGCCAACAAGTACATCCACACCTGCAACATCTACACCTGTACCTCGCACCCCCTCGACTCCTGCACCCGCCGGTGGAAATCGTCCCTACACTACCTCATCCAATCACTCATCGTCTTCCTCCGCGTTTCGGAAATCTGCTTTAACGCAGCCTTCACCCGAGTTACTGCCAACGACGAATTACACGTCATCATTTAGTGGCGTGCTGGATTATATCTGGTACTCTTCAGCGAATTTGGCGTTGAACGCGGTGTTGGGCGAGGTGGATCCGGTGTATTTGAGCAAGGCCGTGGGGTTCCCGAATGTGCATTTTCCTAGCGAGTGAGTGTTCATTATTCTGTTTCTGCTTTTTTGTTTTTTCTGCGGTCTTGAGAGTGGACGTGGAGTAGTGGTTCGAGGTAGAGCCGTCCAGTCCATTTATATCTGCGTTCAAACGCAGGGTTGCTGGTCCTAGGCCTCTGGAAAGCATGCAGTTGCTTGTCCTCCTCTTCTTTTTATCTTTCATATGGGATTGAGCCTGGCAACTGACCTCTTTCTTTCTTCACAGTCACATATGCATCATGGCCGAGTTCCGTATCAAGCCACCGAGGGAACCGAGAGAGAATCTGCCTAGGCCTTCACCATTCTCATAATGGAAATGTGTTTTGGAATATGGAATAAAGATGTGTACTCTAGTTGTACGTCGGAAGTCACTGTTGTCGCTTTATCTACGCCTCCTTACGTCTCACGTTCATTCTTCATTTTATCATCGCACCTGTAGCACGTTCAATTAACCCTCTTTCTCTCTCTCGTTCGTATCTCATTGTCACTGTTCGCGTTTGTGGAGGTGTGTATATGTTGGTTCCGTTGTACTTTGATTCCTCGGAGTGCATGAATGGGTACATAGGTCGATCTACTGGCATATTATAGTACGTTCTCGTTGCATTCAAACTTCACTCTATCTTATTCCTGATCATGACTACATACATCATCGTCATACATACATTCTTCCGACTCTTTGCACAACCACCTACATATACATATTTACTACTTATGCATCGGTCTTTCCTTTTTCTTCTTTTTATTTCTACTTGCCGCATCTTTACCCCTCCTTCTCCGACGCTCTACTTTCAAATTGTGCATATGCTCGAGTTATCTTCTCCCATACTATCATTTCTCTTTACTTACTTTTTACTTGTCTCGATACCTTTTTTCTTTCCTCTCGTCTTTTTTTTGTGCAACCTTGTTTTTTTCTCTCGTCTTGTCTGTTTCTGTTACCCATCTCTGTGTCGTTAAGTATTCCAAGTTGTCGACTATCCAAAAATTTTCTTTTACCCTCTCTTTCTTGGGCGAGAATCTCGATCAGATTTGGCGTTGATATTTTACGCTTTGGCCGGTCATGCGGCAAGTTTCTCGCCGATGGACCCGGAAGTTGCTCTCCTAACAAGTGTTCGTCTCTATAGCGTTTCTTGTCAGGCATCGAGACCAATATTACTTGGTGAAAGAGGCTCAGATGCACCGCCAACAGGCGTCGAACTTCTGCATCTGACGTTGAAATTTGAAGCGAGTGGCCAATGCCGATGAGGAGGTAATCAGAGCCTTCGAATCGTTGTAATAACTGTATTTGGATACCCATACATACGATATATAATCACATTCGAATTTACAGGTAAAAGAAGAACGAGATATGCGGAAACATTCAGGAAACCCCTGGAAGAGAACAGAGGTACCTTGGTTCCATGAAGGAAATCTAAGTCACAGGACCTCCATTTCCACCAAGTTGAGCTGGAGTCAATGAATCGTAAATGGGGCAAAGCTCGTCCCAATCCGCTGTTTAGATCATTTGATTCAGTATTGATGAACACATAAAAACCAGCCAAAATCGTACCGGGGGTAGGGTTGCCGAGAGTTTCTTGTTCGTCCGTTCCTTGTGCAAACACAATTGCGAAACCACTGTATAAGCATTGTCAGAAACAAGTATAGATCAGATATTGACTGAAACTCACGCTTCCAAATGCCAGTCGATGTGGCTACATACAGCAAGGCCGAGTTATAATTTTTGAATAATCACAAATAGCATATTTGACTTACCAATGCAAGAACCCTTGTTTCAAGAGCGAGTTAGCTAGCTTTGAGAGACAAGCAATAAAATTTAAACTCACAAGGACCAGGATTACTAGTAAAGAACCGAATCGTGACATTGTCCCCTGGCATACCAGTGTCGACAACATCTCGCTGCGCAGGATTGGCAAAGTTGTAAACATCGCTTCCAGCGGATCGGACGACAGAGAATGCTTGCTAGAAGGACGTGAGTACATTGAAAGAAAGAAAAATCAATGTCATGCCAAGACGTACTCCGTGAAGATGGAACGGATGCTAGAATTCATGTCAGTGAGTGATTCTGTGACAGTTTCAAGTTTACTAACCGGTCCACCATGTTGGAAGACGAAGGTCGTGTTGAAGGCGAGTTGAATTGACGAGTTCAAAGGCAAATTGTAAACCGATCCGGAGGGGAGGAGAGCATCTGTAGTTGAGATATGTGAATATTAACTGACGAGGAGTGACATGGTTTCTACGTACTAGCTGGCTGAGCTCCGCTAACAATTTGAAGCAAGACAGGAACGCTGGGTGGGTGGAACTGAACTCCGTTTATGAAGAAGAAATTTCCCAACTCTGGAGTTCCGACTTCCTACAAAGAACATGGGTGAAAGTGTCAAAGACTCAGGAGAACGACCTACCCAGAACAACTCCAAGTTCATGGCTACGTCGACGTCGTCCCTGACCGGTCCACCAGGCTAAAATTAATGTTAGTCACATATGATAATGACCTGCTAATAACCAGCACTTACTGCTTCAGGATTAATAAG